TTTCTCTCCATTGCTGTTATCTCACCCTTTGCTAACTGATGGCGGATTTAGACCTACCAGTCCCTAGGTATTTACATTTCAGTGCTGCAGGGATTCTGAAAGACAGAAAGCTTTCACAGAACTAAAGAAAAGGGAGCATTTCCAACTAGTTTTCCTTTTCACAAAATCAGCCCTGTGTTTCAATAATTTATAAAGACCTTATATGGGAGAATTTTATCATGACCCCTCAATTCTCCTCTTTGTCTCTCACCTTGTATGCCCAAAAGAAATCAGAAAGTTCAATTACTGTTCTCAAACATCCTTAAATCTAACCTAAGTTCAGTGTTAGCTTAACACAACTACTAGTATAACATGTATTTTGAAAACTAAGATTCTGTATAACCAAGAGATGGGAGGGGGTGTCCATAAAGGAAGAGGATGTCAAAAGAATTAAGATGTGTTTTGTACACATACCAACTCCCCTCAATGAATGTAATCATTGTGTACTGCTAACAGGTACTAATGAAATTAAAATTAAAAAGAAAAAACGTTAGCTTTGTAAGTTGTCTGGAGCTTAGCTAGAGAAATCAGTGACGATTCCTGTTTCCAATGCTACCCTGGCTTCCACATAAAGCACAGGCATTTAACTGGGGGCAAGGGATTGGGACAGGGAAGTCTCTGGAAGATGAAGTGAATCATAGTAATAAAACAAATGCCCAGGAACCTAGGTGTACAGAAAGTACTTCAGCTTAGCAAAACAAAATTAAATTTAATAAACAATTGCTATTTAGTGAGCTTACACGGAAAAATGTATTTAGCTGTCTTAGCGTAAGCTTTGATCTTTTTGCTCACATATGTTTTATAATTTGTCTGTACTAATTCAGTGAGAGTTCCAAAGATCAAGTCACAGAGGCTATCAGTTTTAGAGCATGAATTGAAGTCATACAATGATTCTAACGTAAATTCCTAAATTTCAGAGGTTAGATAATCTTACCTACGTCATATTTAACATCTTTATAGCATCACAGGAACTAAATCTTAATTTTCTATGTTGCCTGAGCTGAACAGATCTTACAAAGGCTATGACAAAAGGATTCCTGAAGAGTAGTGCAAAAAAAAAAGAAAAGAAAAATAGAAGCATAAAAGATGAACATAATAAATACCAGCTACATTAAAAGTTTCTATAGAGAAAAAAAATTATTCTTCACTTTTAGCCTTCTACCTAATTACTCAGGATTACTATTTTTTGCTAAAGTTTTAGTTTCATTTCAGAGAGACTTAGGAAATCGTTGAAGTTAAACTACTGCTGTGAATTATATTATTGTAGTAGACAGAGTGTCCCTGAGCTGTACGCACCTTTGCTTCCTGGTGCTCCGTGTAGCCACAACATCATGCAGAGAAATAGGCCACATACATTAGGATCAGAATAATCTGTAAAGGGTGGTATGAAGTTAGCACAATGGATATATGGTACACCAATTTTCAAATACTCATGATGTATTTGCATCCGTGTACTCAGTAAAATAGCATAGCTATATTTGAGGAATACCCTGTTAGAGTTTCGGGGTTTTTAGATACTCATTTTTCTGTTGTAGACAGTAGGTATACTTTAGTACTTATTAATTGCAAAGCTGATTGCATTATTTGTAAAAAGGCTGATAAGTTCCTCTATGGATGTGCAATTAAGTAGAATTTGAAATTTGGATGTGTTATGCTGAGTGTGCTTGTGTAAATTCAAAGAATAAATCTAAAACTTGCTTTGGGAAGCACATTTCACTAGCTACAATATGTTCAGAGATTTTTGCCAAGCGAGTTTTATTTCTGACTCTTGATCATTTAGCTTCCTTTAGCCCTCAGGACCTATTCCAGAATCTGGACAGTTGCAGGACTATTCAAAGCTACAAGGCTAGTAGGAGTCCTTCTGCTCTAGGCCCTAAGTCCTAGCCTCCTCTAGGCAGGTATATTCAGAACACCTTCTATCCCATATAGATTCATGGATAGTTTTCATGCTGTATTGAAACAAAAATTCATCATCACTTTCAAAACATATTATTTATACCTCTCATGCTTTCATTATTGCACTTTTTATGATTAGTCTTCTTGTCATATCTCCAAGTGTCAAAGATTCCCCAACATTTAAAAAGAGAAAGCTCTCCAGTACTTGGAAGCAGAACACATAGCTTAGAATTCAGGAACTTTGGCCATCCAGGTGCCTATATGCCCATGTATCCCAAACCAGGATGCTCATGCTACTCTTTCAAATAGTTCTCACCTATGAAAGCCTAGTTTGGTTTATAAGTAGCAGAGGGCAGGGGTCAATGCAAAGGTGACAGCCACACATGACTTACTGCCTGTTTTCATAGCCACAGCTAAGAATTTTTTTTAACATTTTTAAATAGTCAGAAAATGTGGGAAACATGGAAACTATTTAACAGTAATGTGGGAAACATGGAAACTGTTTAACAATCAAATTTCAGTGTCACTACATGAAGTTTTATTGGAAAACAACCACATTCATTAGCATATGTATTACCAAACGCTGCTTTTTTGTACTACCTTGGCAGAGTGGAGTAACTGCCACAGAGAATTCTGAGGCCCCAAGGCCAGAAATATTTACTGTCCAGTCCTTTACAGAAAACATTTGTCAACCCTGATATAGACTATAGTCTAACTTTTGGGTTAGTAGGAGCATAAGAATTCTATCCATCACTTCCACATTTGCTGTTGATGCTCACAGCAAATACAAAATATGAATCCTCAGTAAAATTGTGAAGAAGCTTGCTTCCCTTATTGCTGTTGCTCCTGTCTGTGAGAAAACAATGGGGATCATAAAAACAAAAGGATGTCCATGGTCATTGTTCTGATAATGGATATGAAAAGAGATGGTCGCACACGCTTCCCAGAGTCTGCTCCAGCCTCAGTACTCAGGGGGCTTTTCCCCCCATTATTTCTCCAGTCTGCATCCTGCTGAAAATGAATGAGGGCATTTGTAGGGAGATAATGTTTCCACATGGCCAGGAAGAAGTGCCAATATTCAAAACAGAGTTCTCCAATAGAAGAAAAAGGATCCCTTCAATGAGTGAAGCAGAGTTTGTTGTAACATTTCTACTGGGGTAGAAATAAATAACCATTTAAGAAATAAAGAAAGGAAAGGGAAATCACAAAGAAACTAGAAAGAATATTTCTGAGCTGACCACCTACCTTACTCAGTTACATAGGTAGTGGAATGTATATGTAGAGCCCTTGATATCTATGTTGTAAGGCAATCATTTGGCTGCAAGCGGTCTCCTAAGAATTTTGAAAAAGATAGAAGTTTATTCATTCAGAACAACTGGGTGTGTGTGTGTGTGTGTGTGTGTGTGTGTGTGTTGCTTGTAAATGGTAATGTGCCATTAAAAATGTGTCTTCTCTTCCAAGTGCCCTTCTCTATATAAAACCACTTAGTGAGGAGATGCTGAGAATAGTGTCAGGAAGTAGCACCGTCCCTAAAGCAGACACTTTCAAAAAGCTTTAACTCATCAGAATTTCACCAGGAGTGACATTTCTGTCCTTACAGGAAGAGTTCTTATGAAAAACAATGACCTTTAATCCTTCATGTTATCCTAGTCTTCATCACAGCAAAGTTCCTGTCCAAAAGGTTATCATTTTCTACTGAAGAAACTATCATCTAAAAAAGTCTTGTTAGACTCAATTATTCAGATAATGGGTGTTGAATAAACACCTGTCAGAGTGTTATGATAAGTGCTGTAGCAAATTCAGAAACTCGTTTAAAGATGATCCTTAGCTTTCAGGCATTTATAGCCAAATTGGCAAGACAAAGTTCACACATACATACCAGAAATAAAAGTTTAAGCCAAGGATGACAAAAGTTCAGAGAAGATATAAATCATTTTGAGGAAAGAGGAAATGAGATTGGAACCACACATTGTAGGAGTGTATGCTTTTTTAAATTTTTTTTTTTTGCACTGGGAATAGCTCAGGACCTTGTACCTGAGCTATAGCCCTTTGAAAATCAGAGCAAAAGAAGGAAGTGGATATTCCCAGTGAGTGGAATAGATTAAATGAAAGCAAGAAGCAAAGTATTACAGAAGTCAGGACCGAAAGCTCAAGGACGAAAAGAGGACTTGGGGATATGTATGCATGTATGACTATACAAATACATAGGAGATTTCCAGAGATATGTGTTGTGTATTTCAATAACTGTGTTGAGGACAAAATAAATACAATTGAGGAAATAGAATGCTGTGTGAATTCAATGGGGGTTTTGGAAACAGAGTTTGGAAACTTTTGCTGTGATTCAGGTCAGATAGTGATGGGGTATAAATTACTTATGAGTAGTGTGACTGGAGAGGAAGGGGGAAGCCAATAAATACATCACAAAGGAAGAAGAAATAATACTAAGGGAGGGGTCAAATGCAAATGCCATAGTGTGAAAATAAACAGAAACCATTGTAAATGCTGGGACACTTGTAGTTACAAAGGGAATGAACTTGGAGGCATGGAGATGGTATCAGTTTCTGGCACACTGAGTGTGAGGAGATGAAGGGATCTGTAATGAGAGCAACCCTCCAGTCATTTAGACGTGGAGAATTAGCTCTCCTTAACTGCGAAGTCTGGAGGTGCAGACACTTGGAATTAACTGCACCATTTCATAGATGAGCCCCCTGAGGAAGAAAAGAAGAGCAAGAAATCAAAGATAAAACCTTGGCAATCCTTATGTTTACTGAAGGGAAGAGGAGTCAGAACTTTGAAAGATAGTAATGAGTTATATCATCACGTAAACTAATGGAGTAATTTCCAGGGTGTGGCCAAGAGAGAAACACACTGTTCAAGGATATCAGAGACAAGACTTGGAGGCCATGGGTAGCATCTCAAAGTACAGTTTCAGTTGAGGGTTGGAATACAAACTCAACTGCCACAGATCTACCTTAGTATAACTTTCTACCCCATGAAAGTAATTTCTACTAAAGTTTATTTAAAATTTTCATATGGTGATTTTTATTTTTTGTTTATCTCTCTAGGAATTTATCTTATTTTGCTACACAAAGTAGCCCATCTGCTGTCATTTTGAACCTGTGGGAAGCTCGTCATCAGCATGATGGTGACCTTGACTCCCTGGCCTGTGCCCTTGAAGAAATTGGAAGGACACACACGAAACTCTCAAACATTACAGAATCGCAGCTTGATGAAGCCGACTTCAACTACAGCAGGCAAAATGGACTCTAGTCGACTTCCTCTCATGAGGCAGAGGGATGGCCAGCTTTGGGACATTGCTTTAAATGGGAAAGAGGCAGGTTTCTACCCAGTGGCATTTTGGGAATTCAGCTTTTATGATCAGTGAGATTCCTTGGTTAAAAGAAACTGAAATTTGTATAGGTGAAAGATATTAGTAGGGAAAAGTCCAAGTTCTTTTAGACACAGGAGAGCTTTACTGTCTCCCTTGAATCCACATGCAGGTTAACAGTAGATGCCACCCTCAGATTTGGAATGACAAGGATAGAAGTGCAGGCATATCTGTACTGAAGTAGCTGGGGAAAGAGGTGAGCTATGATAAAGCTAGGAGGCAGAGATTGATTAAGTGCATGTTCTGAAACAGGTTTTTAATGATATGCTCCTTAGGACCAGCTGACTCTGGTACCAGATTGTCCGAGTTTTTCTATCAACTGGCATCTGTGAATTTGGGAATCATTGTAAAACTGGTCTTTACAATGACACAGGATTGCCAATCCGTTTTTATGACTTCACCATTGTCAAGGAGGATATATAGAATTTAGAGTCTGAATCTATCACACCAGCACCAAATTCCTGTCTGCACTAGACAATGCAGACAAGACTGAAGAGTAAGATAGACCACAAACTAGTTCTTGTAGTATACCGCACTTTGATTTGTTCCCATTTCTTCTGATCTTCCTTTACCCAATGGAATAGAATGAGTTAAAAGAACAGAATCAGACCTTTTGATATGAAAATGTATTCAATCTGACTTGACATGAGCATCTCTCTTCCCAGATAAACCACCCAAACTGTGGAGTGCTATTAGAGCACAGCTTATTATTACATTTACATGAGATAGTGAAGGTCTAGCTAGGCCAAAGGATACATATGAGCTGCAGATGTCACAGTTCTTAAACAAGCGGTCATTGTGGGAGACAGATGTCAATCGGTGCAAGGGCAGTTTTGTGATAAGGGAGCAAGGAGTTTTACTGTGCTTTCTAACCCAAATTCTAGAAATGTTCCCAACTTTTCAGTTTTAGGTTCTCACGAAACCCCTTCGCAGGGCTGTAAGTCATCTTCCTTTTGCCTCATGGAGAATTAGCACATAGTCTTTGTTCTCGATGATACTGATTAAGTAGACCTAAAGAATACCTCCACCACGGTGTCCCAGGAGCCACATGAACCCTGCAGGAGCTTTCAAGTTCTGGCTGCTCACCTTCATCATATAGTGTTCTCTATAGAACTATTAATACATAGCTATCACTATATAATTCTTTTTTAAAAGAGGAGGTGGCAATACTATACAGAATGAAAATCTGCAGATAATTCATGACACTCATCTTAACAGCTGACTCCATCTTTTTATCCTATTTAAGTCTTTCTGTCAAGATATCCTAGTAGACTAAATATGAACAGATAATGCTACCACTCATCATTGGTGGATGTTCCCATTCGCTGTCCATAATCAGGACAACCAAAGTCAAGAGCTGAGATTCACTACAAGGTAACTAATCAGCTACTTAGAGCTTGGCTACATTAGAATAGGATAAAAGTAGCCAGGGAATGAAGGAAATAAGGAGTACTTGACAATGGGCATATAATCAGTTTTTTTTAAAAAAAAATGTTTGTAGATCCCTTGTTTAAAAATATATATATATATATTATGGATCTCTTCTCAAGAGGAAATAGACCTGAAGACAGGTTGAACTTATGATACCATTGGTAAGCATTGAAGTCTTCAATGCATTGGCCATTTTTTTCTAACTAACGTGTGGTATATGTATGTGGTCCCCTGTTTTAGATAGAAGGCTTTGCTATAATGTAACTCAAAAGCATTTGCTTTTCTCAGGAACCAAAGGCTTATTACATAGAACAAACAAATCATCTTTGAACCATTGAGCATATTTTCAAAATATCATGCCTAGGTCAGGAAAACACCCTTTTGCTAGTGTGCTCCACTTGTTTATTTCTTCTGGGGAACAACTCAGAGACATTATGAAAATGTAAATCACTTGATATTACTAGTATGACTTTTGAGAGAGAGAGGTGGAAATAGATGACCAGTCACAATACCCTAGAGAGGTGACTGGCATGACCAGGTGCACATAGAATCTGCATCCGTCTGTTGAGGAATAACCTGTTTAAGCACATTGTAGAGCTTATGTTAATTTACACCTTGGAGGGTTTTGTTTTAAATCATCTTGCACTTTTTTTTTCTTTCCTTCTAATTGGCCTAATAATTCTTTCATCTATTCTGTGATTCCACACAAGTCCTTTGTAGATTTTAAAAAATATTTTAAAAGAGTTGAAACTTACATGATTTCCCTTGGAACCTCTCTAGATTATTTTAAAATGAGATGAGATTATGGTTAATCCCTGAATGTCTGAAGTTTCCTCTATTTTGAGGCTTTTTCTTTTGGCCTGGGTTTATCAACACACTTTAACACTGCATCACATATAGGCAAGGTTAATATGACTCACCTCAGATTTCAGCCCAAGTTTCATTCAAATTCATTTTCTTCCTTTATATTTCTTTCTTCAGCTATTATACTACGTAGGATTTCTACATAAATGTATGAAATTCTGTGGTCATTGTTAAAGATCGTGGAGTGCTTTTCAATAGAATTTCAAAGAGAACCCAGGGTTCTGAGATTTATAGAGCAAGGTGTGTTTGTGAGAGAAAAGGATTACAGGTTAGACAAAGTCTCAGTTCACATTTGAACTAGTGGTTATTTACTGTGACCCAAAGCTTTTTCTATGATATTTACCTGTCAGAACACAAATACCTCTCTTGAAAGATATTTACTCATTAGTCTAAGCACTTAATTTGGAGGTATGATGGTGTGAGTGCAAAATGAAGCAAAAATTAAAAATGGCCCTAAGTACTTCAGAGGTTAATTTTTTTAAAAACATCCCACTTTATGCCACATCTCTCAGTTCTCGCAGACATTTAATAGTCATGCTTTAAACATGCATGACTAAAAATTGCACCACCAAAATGGTGCAATTCACAGCTTCACCAGACTACAGCATCATAAAGTTAATTTACAGTCTTTACAACATTGCTTGTGCAGGCTTAATGGTTTACATTAGAATCCTTTAAGCCAAAAGGAAGCTCACAGTATAGATTTAAATGCAACTTCATTTACCAGTGCAGGAAGTCTCATAAAATTCAGATGTACTCCCACAAAAAATTTATTGGCCTTTTTGTAAAAGATGAAAAAGAATCCACAGAGTTCTCCTTAAAGAGGGGTACTTTTCTCTCTTTATTATTTTTATTCTGACTACAGAGGTTATCCTTTGTCATGGTCCCTGTATTTTTCTTTCAGTTGGTTTTAAGAGGGAATGTGAAGTCAAATCATTAAAACAAGATTCTTTTTTGTTAAAAATCCTGGATTTACTGCAGTTATTTTGCTTGACAAAATTCTCAACACCAGGACTGATAGAGGTAGATAGTAACCTGTTATGATAGATTTTAGATAATGTTTCTCTACTTGCCAGCTCATGGCAAATTTACCAGTGAATTTCATAATGCTATACAATCTCTGGAAATGCATTTTTCTTCCTTTGACCATTTCCTCTTCAATTTCTTGGTCTCTCTGCCCTCTGTGAATGTGTCGAGTGATCTAGTTGTCAGACGTGTTGAAGATGATGTTATCTGAGGTCTGCGTTTCAGGTCTGTAAAGGTCACAGGAAGCAGGAAGTTGCTGAGCAACGTGCCTGTCTGGCCCATTGCGTGGCCCATTTTCATTCTGTTTCCTCATGAAACATTGCAAGATTCGAATCCTTAGTAGCTCCCCATTGACTGGACTCGAGTTGATAGCCACAGCAACTGGGAGAGCAAAATGTTGGCCTGCAGATGGTGAAAACATTTTCTTAGCCTTTTGGTGTTCGTTGCCATAGCACCGTATTTGAAAGTTGATGCTTTAGCCAAAAGCTGAATGGCCACCGTTTTCGTAGTTTCCACTGTTTTGTCTGCATAGACTTCTTCCTGAACTACAAGCAAAATCGTATTTTGTCAAATGTCACAAAAGTGAAAATGTTACTAATCTTAGATGTGTTGCATATTTTGTGTTTTTCCTTTCCAAACTCTTTCAAAAGCTGCAGTTACAAAGCTGTTTGGCTGTATTGACAGCATGTGGTGTTTTTTGCAAAAGCAGTTCTAGGAGAGCCAGCGTCTCTCATGGACTCCTCACATCCCCACTCCAGGGTCGTCAACACAAGTGAAATGGCAATTTAGAATGCTGTCACTTTTCAAAAGATGAAAGGGGATGGAAATGAGACCTGGCTGTTAGTCACTAGTGTGTAGTACTGTGATCTGAAGTAGGAAATTTAACTCACATAGAATAATTGTGGTTTTTGAAGCAGCTACTCATTGCTTTTTCCTTTTGCTGTTAAGATCATGGATTTGGAATGTCCTCATGAGGTGGGCCTAAGACAGTAACATTTAAACTTCATGTCTTGGAACCTACCCCCAACTGAACCCAAAGATTACAAAGGCAGTAAGCTTCATGTTCAGGCTTAAGCTTAGAAATTTCCTTCCCTACCCCGCTATGATGTTCAGTGGGGTTTCTGTCTTTCTTTCCAGAAATTTATAGTTTTGATTACAGAATATGTCACTGAAATTGGTAATATAGTTCTTTGCATGAATGGAAATATGTATAAATATTCTTTTGCAAAAGACCTGATTACAATGAAGATGCCTTGTGTCTCAGATTTTGCTAACTGTACAAAAACACTTCATTTACTTCAAGCATTATTTATACCTAAATTCCAAAAGCGAACAATGTTCAATTCCCTAAAAAGTTAGTATCTATGGCAAGTAGAGATTTAGTTGTGTTTCTGGTGAATCATCACAGGAGGGATGTTAGTTGAAGGGGTGATAAGTAGAATATCATGCCTTAGGACTAACTCACCTTGATAAAAAACACAGGTATTCCAATAAGAATTGGGTCAAGCCATTCTATTATGTATGGCACCATTCCCCAGTTCTGATAGTGCTGAGAGGGAGATCTCAGGATGCAGCCACTGAGCCTTAACCTAGAGAAACTGAGAACCACCCTTCAGTAACATCAAGGCTCCTCCTAATGCATCATGCTCCCACTCAACACATCTCTGCAAGAAGGTTGGGAAACACTCAGACAGCCAGAATTTTCTGGTCAGGAGCACAGCTATCTCCTTTTATAAATTGGAATACAGACAGTTTCCATTCTTCACACTTGCATCCAATCGACACATGCACTCAAATCCTGACCTGGAAATCTTGCAAACATAAGCAGGTAGAAGGAAGCTGGCTTCTTCTCCTAGCCCAAATTAAAAACAAACAAACAAAAAACATGAATTGTTGTTTACCTCCGTTTTTGTATGGAAGAATTTAAAACAGGTTTTATTTTGTTCTCTGTATTTTGGGGAAGGTACCTGGGGGTGTTCTTGCAAGTGATTCATATCTCAAACCCATACCACTCTCAACTTTTATTTGATGTGTTCAAAGCCAAACTAAATGAGTACAATTTGAAAAGTGGGGCTGAACACTAAATTTGACATGAAGCTGAAGGAGTGAGCAAGCCGGGGAAGAGAGTTTGAATAAAGCATGGCCTTGGCTTCATACCACACTTTTTGTGCCTTGTATTATCAATGTAAATTCTGAATGTTGTACAGTAAACTTGGATGGACTTCTTAGAGAAGGCTGCACTGGCTTCTTTTCAGCACATGTACAGATCTATAAATATATATACATATATATTTGGTAATGCCAAACAGTTGTGTTATATTGTACTGAACAAAATGGACAGTTGGATGTTTTATGTAGAGTTCGAAAAAAAACTGAATGGTTACAGACTTTTCAAGATAAATGTACAGCGTAAATTACCGCATATCAGTTATTTATGAATAAAGAGTCTTTTATTGACATTTTAGGATACTCCATGAGTGGAACTTTGAAATCTCAATGAGGACCCCTCTCTCTTTGTGTACCTCCTGCCACATATTCGCAAAGTTGGGATGTTCTCTCTAAGATAATTTCTAGTTCCCTGCTGATCTATTGAGCCTAATTTCTCACTCTGGCCTCAAGGATGAGACAATATGAGCTTACTGAAAGCATAGATTATTTTCTGACACACACACAAGTACACCCTTTTCCTTGGGGTGCCATTTTATATACTTGTAGGCATAGCCACACCACAACCATAACTTGGAAACTTTTCATTTTATTCCCTAAGTCATTCTTATAGGTTATAAAGAACATTTTCCACCTTTCCATGGGAAAATATTAAGAAAATATTTGCAATGTCATACATTTTAAATACATCCTGACTGACTAAATCTATTTTAAATGTGTTTTAAAATGCTGAGAGCTCCCAACAATTTAATTATAAGAACTTAGAGAACTGGCTAGATTCAGTTTAAATAATATGATCCATTATACAAAATTATATCTGGTCCATTTAAATGAGTAGCTAATAATTTTTAGAAAGGTCAAAGTATTTTTCCAAAAGTGTTTTTTTTTAATGAAATACCATTTTCAAACAAAAATAGGTTTAGTGTTACAAATTAAGTTTGGGAAACTGGGAGGTAAATTGAAACATCAGTCTCTTGAGTTCTGACAAGCTTTATTCTGACATGGGTCAAATGAATACAGTAAGGGCAAGGATATAGGCTCACTGGCACAACACCTGCCTGGCAAGCTCAAGGTCCTGAGTTCAATTCCTGGTTCCAAAAGCAAAACTGAAAACAGCATACAGTAGATCTGAAGAAAGGGAGCATTTCCTGAACATCTTTGACCACATTACTCCTGTCCTTACATAATCTTAAGGAACTATTTGGGGCAGGAATGAATATCCACAAAGTGGCTCTGAGTGGCTCCACCTGTTTTGTCTGACCTCTTTAAGCTAGGCAGAGCTTTAAAGCTGACTAATATATATAAACTGATAGAAGAAATAGTTTCAGTTACCTTGAACAAGGTAAATCAGTTATAGTAAGGCTAAACCAAGCCCCAAGTTTCAAATAATTAAAACAATAATTCAATAATTAAAATAATTAAAATAAAAGAATTCAACTTTCATTGGGCAAAACAAATTTCTCTAGAACAACAACTGCACAAAGGTCTAGATATATTTAATTCATTCAGATGAAAATTTAACAGGTTAGGTATAATCTGTAAGAAGGCATATAAACTAAAGTTTTAAAAGTATTCAATTAAAATGCTTTCCCTAGTTCGGAAATAATTCTCAATGTGTTCATTATGAATGTGTGCACACATTCAACGTAAGAGCTAACCTGAGCCCTATTCATTTATGATTGTTCTATGTAGTGAATTATATGTTAGGTTTTGATTGTGTTGTGACAGGCGTTTACTCATTCACTAAAAAAATATTGATCATTTACTATGAGATCACAGAGTCAAATCCTGGCCCTGTCATTTAACATTTAAAATTAGGCAAGATACTTACATATGTGTCTCATGTATAATATACAGACAGTAACAGAATTTAACATTTTTCCCAAAATCTGAGGAATAAATGAAAATATGTAATGCCTTTAGCACACTACATGGAACCTGGGAAGCAATCACTGGATTTTCCCTTTTATTGTAGGGAAGTATTAAGTACAGTAGTTAGCAGAAAGTTTGAGGGCAGGCAGGTTTTCGTAATCCTGAATCTGCCACTCTCTGGATATGTGAATTTGGCCAAGAAATTGTTTATATTGAAAGGACAATGATCATATCCAGTTTTATGGGCATTAAGTAAATGGTCACAATAATTCTAACTAGTAATCATATCTCTAGCTGCCTCTGGCTAGTTCCAATTCTGTACAGAAACATCCTATCAATGATGGCAAGCCTTTCATAGATTTCAGTGAAAACAACTATCTAGCTGTGGCACGTATGCCATGGGTTCGCCACCACTGTTTAGAATATTTATTATAGTAAGGTTATGAGAGGACCAGTGATGTACTCCAATGTTAGCACCTTTCCCATACCTGAAAGTTATTTAGGAAGAATGTATTGCTAACTCTGAAATATATGCAATGAAATTTATTTTCAACTATGCAGGTTAATGCTTAATACCATGAGATTTAAAAAATACTAATTATTTTAGGAGAGAAACTGACACAGCTTGTGAGACAAAGATATATTTAAAGCATATCAATAAGACTAACATATTCAAATAGTGTTCTTATATACAATAGGTGCTCAACCAATGAGCTGACCATTTTCTAGTTTTCAAAAGACATGAGGGCCTTAGCATTACGAATGTGTGCACAAATTCAACATAAAAGAGTTAACCTGAGCCCTATTCATCACCTGCTATGTGGCAGACTTCTCTGCTGTAAGTAAAGCATTCATACATAATACTCTTGGTAATTACTGAATAATGACATGGACTCAGCCTTCAAGATGCTCACTGTCTGTAAGCCAAGAGATTTTATAACATCAGAAAATAAGTATTATGAAAGAGCCAAATCCAGGCCATTACGGGAGGTCAAAAGAGAAACACCAACCTGATTATGTTCTGTGAGGGACAGGTATATGGAGAAGTTACCATGGAAGTAAGAGTTACAAATGATCTATGAATAGAGCTAATTCTTTAAAAACACTGTGTGAAAAACTCTATAATTTATGACCAAATATAATCACTGTTTATTATTCTTACAAATGTATGGGTCCTGTCAATATAAGCCTAACTCTAGTGGTATGGCTGGACTCCTTCCTGTGTCTATAGCAGCTGAAGGACCCAGCGGGGAGAGGGCTTTGTCCCCTAGTCAGGCTCCTCCCATGTCTGGGGCCTTAGTGTGGACAATGAGTTGACCATGATCTGCTCCTTATGCCTCACAGTCCGAGCTGTTAGGCTGGGTGTGGTAAAGGCTGAGGAAAGGAAATGTGTGATCTTTTGAAGACCAGCTTGCAACATTATCTTTTCCGCCATAGGCAAAGAGCCACAGAATTCATAGGATCAGTCTACTTAAAAAGTACAAAAACAGAATTCATCACTTGATGGGAATTACTGCAAAATCACATTGCAAAAGATGTGAATGTTAGAAGGAGGTAGAGAATATGGGTCATGGCTTTAATTTCACCATCAGAGAAAATTAAGAATTTGTCCAAAGAAAATAGGAAAAGAATATTCAAACGGAACCCTTAGCATCAGTAAATGCATTAATAAGCATTTTGTTCAGGAGTGCCTCCCATACTGGTTTTTTTATGACTGTAGTCCTTATGGCCCCCTGAGTCTTCTACAATAGTACATCCCAAACATTTTTGCTGTGTTTCTAGGTGCTGATCTCATGGTTAGGAATGTTAGGAGAAAAGTGAGTTAATCTTGTTCATCGGGGATTCTGCACTGTGGATCTCTCAAAGGATATAATGTAATATGGTGATTATTATTTGAATGTATTCCATATGCTAGGCATATTACATGATTTTCCTCTTTTGCTCCCTCAGCAATCATGAAGTCAGCACTATTACTACTCATATTTTGCAAGTAGGGAAACTGAGAAAAAAGAATTTATGGAAATACACTCCCCCATGGCTAATGTTTGCAGCATTTTTTTCAAGTATTCATCAGCCATTATTTAATGAACATGTACTAACATATCAAAGTTCATATTTGGGGATTTATTTTTCTAAAGATGTACAAGAGATAAATTTTATTTACCACTCTAAATTAAATTTGTTGGAATAGTCTTAATTTTTTGTTTACTCATCTATCCCCCTCATTTCTTTGTACTTTGCAAAATTCCATGTCTCTAAACAGTAAGCCCATAGCAACTGTTTTATTTTATTTTACTTTATTTTATTTGTTTTTGATACCGGCAGTCGAACTCATGACCTCAGGCTTTCCAGGCAAGCACTTATGCCACTGAACTATACCCTTGGCATATAGCAACTGTTTTAACATTTTAATTCTTGCCTGTGAATGCTTGACCATGTTTCTCTGCAATTAGTCAGAAATGCACCCTTAAAACTGATAGGCATGAGTCATATTTTGCTAAATATTATAAAGACTACCTTTTTAAAAAGCGAGATACATCTTCACAATTAAATTGACTTCTATCCAATAACTTTGTTGTCTCTAAACTCAGAGTAAAATTTGCCTTATCCTTTGTTCAAAGACATGTAGCTGTCCAGCCATCAAGATGCTGCACGATATATGGAGAGAACTCAGGTTAAGCTAAAAAGGCAGATGGTCCAACCTTCACTCTCATGCTTCCCAAGGATTTAGGCAGTTCAGTTTTATCTTTTGAATCTCAAGTTTCCACATCAGTAAAATCAGCATCATTAATACCTCCACCTTCTCCTCATGTTTGGCTATGGCAGGCATAGTCAAATATTGTAAGTGAAAACACAGCTTTGGATTCTATCAAGTTCTATGCATGTAATTTTAATAAAATGAGAACTATATATTGACTGTCAATATATAGTAAATATCAAAATTTAATGCTTTTAGACAAAATTGTTAATAATATATGTTAAAATTTTTAAGTGACCATGACTTATTCCTTCACCCCCTTGTTTCTCAAGATTGAATAAGACATTCCTTCACTCCCTTCTTTCTCAAGATTGAATAATTTGGCTAGAATATGCAGGGAAACAGAGATTTTCTCTTATTCTAGCACCACACATACCTTTAAAAATCCAAATACTTTGAGAAATATAATTAATGTATGAGTATAATCTTAGCAACATTATAAATGAAAAATCATAGAAAAATCCTAAAATCAACTATATATTTATTATCACTAAGTAATGAGAGTTAACACTTCTAAGCCCTTACGAGCCTAAATTGTCATTTCTTTTTACTGTCACTTAGAATGTAGGCCAACAAGGAAACTCAGCCCACCACTAATTGCACCTTCAGTTGTCTCTCTTTACTAAGTGTGGTTATGTCAAAAATATATATTAAGTGTGCACC